CTTGTAACATATGCCCTTAACAACTTGCTTTTATCTAGCAATCCAACGGAGAGAAGATAATGTGAATTTATGTGAAGGAATAACGTAAGAATACTCATAACGGTTTAGATTCATTCATATATGACAGATTTTGAACTACTAATCCTAACAATATTTGTTTATGTTTGGGTAGATTGTTATTGTGTATACCATTACTATACTATTGATTTTCGTCCTATTGGAGCCTATAAGAGCTATTAAATCTCCTGCGAACTTAATCTTGGTGTTTTGTTGAGTTTGTTTTACTATTATTATACCTGTGATAGAAGAAGGTTTATATGCTTATTTATGAATTTGTTAGAAATGCTAGGATTCTTTCGCGGCATATCACTACTTGTTTTGTTGTTGGAGACAGTAGTGTGTGCAGTTATCATTTGTAGGTTGCCTTGTTGCTTAGTCTTTTGCAGTGATATACTTTGAGGAAATTATTTTCTGCTTTGTTTACTTTGTGGTTCGAGGTTGCTCTTTCATATTGTATTTCTACCTAGATGTTTCCATAATATAATTGCATGAAGGCTAAGTTTAAAGGGTAAATGAAAGAGAAAAGAATGTATCTAAAGGCTGGAGGCCAAGATTCAGTCTGTTTGTTTCCAATAGTTGCGGAAAAAATTCGAGCCTTCGTAAACAGTCATTTTCTCCTACAATCCGGTTTTTATGCGTGCGTATGTAATGTAGTCCCTCAGGTCATTAAGAAGAAGACACAGTTAACATCGACGGTCCTGATTAATCTGTTCCCTTTTATTTGATTTGAATAAATAGATTGCTCTATGTTTTTCAAAGAAAGATTGGCTTCTTAGTAGATGTATATTGTCTAATTCCATTTGCTGTAGCATTGCTTTCTGTATAATCTGCTATTATGAATATCACCAACAAGAAGGCGCTAGCTCTTCATTGGTAAGGGGTCGATAATATATCACCATAGGTCCAGAGCCCTTGTCATGCTTCCAACAGATGAACTTGTGATCATGACATCGTCGAACGAACATCCAGACCTGCATATAGACAATTGAGAAACGTACAAGGAGGAGGAGATATATCATGTTAGGAGTCCCGTCAATATGCGGAAACCTTTAGATATGACAGCTTCTCAGACTATTTGTATTTGGAGCAATACAGACGTGCGTATGTGGTGAATGAGGGGAGGTACAATATCCTTACTGACACACTATATAGAGATTTTGAGTAAAAGGACTAAGCGAAGAAGAAAAGCTCTAAGCTACTCGAACCCGTTTTATCAAGACGAGTATTTGCCATTCATTTTCCACATCAACACTGTAACCCTGATGAACCCAAACGTACTAAAATGCAGAATGGTCAGTTTCTTTTTCAGACAGTAAAGCATCAGTGCGGCAAGTTTAAATGACTTCCAGCAAGACAGCTTAACATCTCTTGTAGGGCTTCTGCTCTTCATTCTCCTTTGTTTCTCTGCTCTATCCTTCTGTGACGGTTTTACCTTAGTTGGAGGTTGTTATGTTCAAGCCTCTGAGATTCTTGTCTCTTCTGTTTTGATCTACCCTGTTTTGAAGACTCTTCCACTGTAATTGTTGTGTTTCCTGAAATTGAATTCTTTCATTTCCAGATTCGTACTTTCCATATATCATTTCTTGTGAACTTTTGTTTCATGTCTGGAGCTTTTGTGGTTTCTTGTGGTTGTATTGAGTTGTTTTTGTAGGCTCAGTGAGTGTTCTATGATCCAACATAGAAGAATACCTCTTCTGTTCATCCTTTGCGTTGCCTGATTTGGTTGGTGTCCGTTATCTAGGGGCTTGTGACTCCTCTTTGGGGGTAGTTTTCTCTCGTTTGGTTCTTCATATTCCTGAGTTCCTTCGCGATTTTCTTCCCATGTCGAGCTCAGTTTGTTCTTCAACTTAGTATTTCTGTTTGGGTTATTCACACGCCTTGTTTAATTTCTGAGGCGTTAGGTGGTTCCCTGTGGGTGACGATCGACCAACTCCCTTGGTATGAAATGAGTACAGTGTGTGCCATGACAGGCTGTGCAGTGATGCCGTCCCTGTCAGTAGGTGGCGCTTTGCTTGGAGGAACAGGCGTATAATGTTTGTTTTTGTGTCCTGTTTCACTCCTTGTTCTCGGCAGAGCTGGGTTGGTAAAGCGCTGCCCTCAGGCCACCACCAATGCTGTAGCGGGTCAAAGTCTGTTCCTCTGCTTCCAGAAGCAATCTGTCAGGTGGCTGCACATGCCGCTCAGCAGAAAGTCGTGGTTTGTGGGGTGGGGCCTGTTCTGAAGACCCACAGCCTGGAGAGGCCTTCGCTTCTTCCACCCTCCCAACTCCGCAGCTCTCCTTGGGACTCTGCCAGCAGGCCAGACCACACAGCCCACAGGCCTCCCTCGATTGGATGCCGCGGGAGGTCCCTGCCGCAGAAACACCACCTGGGCTGGGTTGGTTGGGTCCTTTTGGGAGGAGGGTTGCCTCTAGGACTGCTGATCTGCTGAACAAAGGCACACACACTCAAGTGCTGTTCCATATATCCTTCTGTGCCCGGGCAATGCTAACAGACTCGGTGTCAGCGGAGATCTGTCTGCAGGCTCCGACCTCTGTTCCAGATTCAAACTGTACCCCATCGGAGAGGAGTTCTGATCAATTCACCCACAGGGACCAAGCTGGTCTATGTCTCGGAAGCCTCTGATCCTTGCACGTTCTCACCTGGGAACACCGTGCGAGCAGCACCTGGGAGGCTGCAAGGTAGGAGAGCTCAACAGTCTGAGATTCTTCCTTAGTCACAGCTGTAGGGTCCCAAACAGGGAAGGTCATGTCCCTGGAGGGCCTCCGCTAGGATGCTATACTGTCTCTCTGGGCAGCCGCGGCGGTTAGAGTTGGTGGAGGGAGAAGGAGGCATTATGGTGCTGCGCCGGCCTGGGTCTGTGCCACACGGAGGTACCCAGAGGGACGTTGGGAGCCTCGGTGCCGAGTCTGACTACAGGCTCACCACTAGCTGGCGGCGCCGTCTCTGGGCTGGTGTCTGCAGGTCTCTTCACCCACTGGGGAGCCCACCAGCAGTCCCAAATGCAGAGGAGGGGAAAGGTGACTTATCCACCTACCCTTGCCGCTGGTCTCCGGGCTGCTCCGGCGGTCTCAGCTTCCAGTTCTCTTCCGCAGCCTCCTCCCGTGGAGTCTCCCGGGGTCTCAGGTACCCCTCCTTCCGGCCCTCATCCACTGTATGCTCATTTTCTTGCCTCTTTTTTCTAATTTCTGCTAGAATCTGTCTTTTCTGCAGAGACACTCTGTCTGGCAGTGTTTCTCATCCGCCATCTTGATCCTCCCCCTGGATGGTGATTTTTAAGTGCCCCAACATGGAATTATCCATTGAACCATCCATTTAGGTCTTCTTGACCCTCCCTCAAGGAAGAGACACAAAATAACTTCAACAGGGAGTGGACACAAGTGGGTGTGAAAAATGGAGGAGGCATCATTGTCATAGTTGGTTCACAACTGTCGTTGACTTGCAAATAACCTGCCCTTGGTCACCATCGTGTCACACGGTGAACAAATATGGATGGCTGTGGGTAGGACTTTTTCTAAACATCTCAGTCCTCAGTTTTTCACTGGGTGGGAAACCAGGGCTCTCATCTTTCACAGCTTTAAAGTAATCTAACCAATTACAGGGATAAATGAAAAGTCTTTGAAATGTACACATATGTTATAAAGGCTAGACACTTTGGCTTCTCAACACACAAAAAAATGTAGATTCTTTTGATCCTGGTTGTGAGAACGTCAGGTTCACAGACGCTCGCTTCCAGATAAAACCCATGCTGATATAACAGTGGAGGATTCAGAGACCTCTACTGAGACAATGGGTTAGAAGTTTCTTTGAACACTTCTTAGAGTAAGTCTATATTTATATTTAGTACATTTCTCCCCATCTGAAATTGTCATGAGCCTTTACTTACTTTTCAAGAATTACTGCCCACCAAAGAAATGATTTTATATAAGCAAGGACAGAAAGGAAACCCTATTGGCACTACCAGTTAAGAAACACTCCAGGTTGGCACTTTTTGACAAATCCCACCACTCCTGATGGCTATACGTCAGGTCAGCTCTGATGTGAGGTGTCTGAGGTAGCCAGAAAAGAACAAAGCTCATAGTAAGGAAAAGTCCAGGTTCCTATGCTACCTCCTTGCAACCATTATAAAGGTTGGTTTTGAAAGAGATGCCCAAGTAATCTCTGAGGAAACTTGCTGAGCCTACAAAAGGAAACAAGCATTTTGTTGAAATTATGGGAAAAGTCTAAAGAAATGGGTTGGGGGTGGAGGCTGGACAGGTAGGAGAAGAGCTAAACCAAGCATCATAACGTGCTGCTCCAATGAACATATTCTGGAAATGAGGGACTAAATCCTTGAGTATCTCCTGTGTGCTGAGCACTTTACAAAGATTTTTGTGTTTGATTTTCACAACATCCCTGATAGCATGGTATGATTCTCATTTTGCAAATGAGTAAATGAGACTCAAAGATGAGAGTGAGAAAGAGTCAAAGGTCTTTCAGATTCAGATACAACAGACTTACTGTGAATAAAATATATTGTGTGGTCTTAGCAGTCTGCAAAGCAAAGCGATGGCCAACAATGTATGGAGGGGTAGATATTTAAAGCAGTGTTGAGCTACATAATATTTGAATTGTTCGCCTATTCGCCCAAAACCCCTATTGATGAGTGCTCATCCAGGCACAGTGAGTAGACTGGCAGACTATCATTCTCTGGCACTCAATTGGTCTACAGGTCTCATCTTTCTCATATAGGAAAGGTCCTATAGATTGCTGGCTTTAGATCATAGTCAAGGCCCCATTTTCATACCTGTAAAAAGATCATGTGTGCATTATTTCCATAATTCCTGGATTCCTGAATTTTGTTTTTGGACATCTTATCCAGTCAATCCTGCTTCTTCCTGGTACTGCAAAGGTTTTCAAAACAAACTAAAAAGGCAGGTCAAACTTTGATGTGAGGTTGCGGCTGCCGGACTCGTCTTTGCTGCCACCGCCGGCGCTGCCGCCTCATGGCGGCCATCGGGGTTCTCCTGGGCTGCACATCAGCCTGTGTGGCTGTCTACAAGGATGGCCGTGCTGATGTAGTTGCAAATGATGCAGGTGACAGAGTTACTCCAGCCGTTGTAGCTTACTCAGAAAATGAAGAGATTGTTGGACTGGCAGCAGAACAAAGCAGAATACGAAATATTTCAAATACAGTAATGAAAGTAAAGCAGATCCTTGGCAGAAGCCAGAAATTCAGTCCTTGGACCTGGCTTCTCAGCAGTTGTCCCTGAGAGTGAAGAATCGGCTGGCTCCTGGAAATACACTGAGAACACACAGAGCTTCCACACACCTTCAGATTTGCACCTTGCTGCACAGGAGCTTTCTAGCCTTCCTTCCCAACGTACCATGGCCAGTACCAATAGCAGTGCAGGCATCCAGTGGTCCAGACAGGAGACACGAACTCTCCTTTCCATACTAGGTGAGGCAGAGTATATTCAGCACCTCCAGACTGTGCATCATAATGCTGATGTCTATCAGGCTGTGTCTAAGCGAATGCAGCAGAAAGGCTTCCGCCGCACTGAACGTCAGTGCCGCTCCAAGTTTAAAGTTCTGAAGGCGTTATATTTAAAGGCCTACGTGGCCCATGCCACAAGTATGGGTGACCCACCACACTGTGCTTTTTATGATACATTGGATCAGCTTCTTCGAAATCAGATAGTGACTGACCCAGACAACTTAATGGAGGATGCTGCTTGGGCCAAGCACTGTGATCAGACCTTAGTGGCCTCTGACACCCCAGGGGAAGAGGGAACCAGCATTCTGAAAGCAAAAAGGACTCAGGCAGCTGATCTTCGGCCTATCTTGAAAACAGTTAAGGAATCAGATGAAGATTGATTGTCAGCTGAGAATCAGTAACCGGATACGAGAAACCAGTGACCTCGAGGACTCCTGGGATGAATCCCCGGGTGCAGGGTGCTCTCAAGGGACCCCCACCTACAGCAACTCCCACAACCTTTTCAGAGGTGCAGTTGCTCCCTGTCAGAGCAGCCCCATGACCAGACTGGGTGTGTCCGGGGAGCCCGGTCCCTGCACCAGCACCAGCTGCAACACTCCTGGTGCAGCCTCCGCACCACGGCCTCCGGTCTCCTCTCCCAGAGTTGGTTTTGTTTCTGGTGGGGATAGGCCTTTGACCAGTGAACCCCCTCCAAGGTGGGCAAGACGAAGAAGGCGGTCAGTGGCCAGAACCATTGCAGCCGAGTTGGCAGAAAACAGGAGATTGGCACGAGAACTTTCAAAGCGTGAGGAAGAAAAACTGGACAGGCTGATTGCTATTGGTGAGGAGGCCAGTGCTCAGCAAGACACTACCAATGAGCTCCGCAGGGACGCTGTCATCGCGGTCAGATGTTTGGCAACAGCAGTGGAAGAAGCAACTGGTGCTTTTCAGCTAGGCCTTGAAAAATTGCTTCAGAAGTTGATTTCGAACACCAAAAGCTAGGAACTGATAACAAAAGTTTATTTCCTAAACTGGTAGAAGTCTAGTTTCAATACTTGCTTTCTAGGATTCTGGCTCCTTTTCTGTGTCCTCAGAGAAAAAGAGTGGATGAACCATTAATGTGCAGAGTGGTAGGAATATACTTGCTAGTACCTTTCCCCAAGATTCTCCATTAATTGTAAGACCTTTCAGAAATGTGAGGGGTGGCCTAATAGAAAATGGATGGAGCCGAGTCCAACAGAGCTAGTTCGACCTGGGCTTTGTCTCTGATGTAAGGCAATTTAGTTTACCTCTCTACAACAGTTTTCCTCATCTGTAAAATGGGGATGGTATTAACTCCTGCCCTGCCTACCTCACAGGGTTGTTGTGAGGGTCAAATGGCTAATAGATGTGAAAGAGTTTAAAAGCACTAGAGACATTTAAGTTATTAACACATCTGACCTTGGCTGCAGTAAGGCCACGGTGAGGCACATTAGTTTACAAGACACAGAAGTGTGGCCGTATACCATGACCTCATTGCTTGAATCTTTTTTCACTCGTTTAACTTGACTGCTTTCATGGAATTGGGATCTTAATTTTATAAATCCCTCTGTGGCTCTTTAGGCTAGTGTTAGTGCTGCATTTTCTTACATTTTCACTGCTATGTCTTTGACATAACCTACTACTAAGCAGTCAGACCATCTTTCCCCACTTCATTTTACTAGTTCTCAGTCTCCTGTCAACATAAGGATATAATTAAGAACCAACAGGGAGTCACAGTAGTATGTTATGGTTCATATAGATAATCTTTGATATAATTAAATATTGGCTGTTTTATTGAAAATGTAAGTAAATTCTTTGCATTCCATAGTATTTGGGTCCCTCTATATGCCTAAATTGTAGCTTTAAATTTTGGTTGCCATTTGAGCATTGTGGAAACCATTCAGATTATTACATCAGTTTCCAATCTTCTTTTAGCTAATTTCATTCTTTTCTGCTAGCTGTTTTTTGTCTAGTATGTTACAGAGGGAAAACCCTAGAAAACTTTCCTTCTAAGGAACTTTCCAAGGTTACTTTTTCTCAAGCGTTGCAGACAAAAGTTGATGTAGTTAATGGTACGGTGGAAGAGAACAGCTTTATTTCCCCTTTAGCTTTGGAAACACCAGAGGGTGGTGTGGGTAAAGACTGCCTGGAATGGAGGACTCCTTTTAAGCACAAGCCCTCAACAAATGCACCACTCCTATCCCTCTCCCCACTTCTTTGGAAGAGATGAAGGTAATACGCCAAACTTCCACTTTACTTTAGAAGGGAAGCCAGTACTAGCCATCATTAAACTAACTTAAAGCTTTTAGTGGTTTGCTTAGTACTTTCAGGACATACAAATAGAAATCTTTGTGATTTATAAAGCTTCCCTATAGTCTAGAAGCTGGGGGAAAAAAGTAGGCATGTTGGGAGAAGTGAGGTTTTATATTTTGCAGGCGTGGGTGGTTAGCTAAATACTGGAAATGCATGTGGATGGAGAAATGGTCAAAACAACAGTGGGACCATACCCAGAACCATGAATAGATAGCAGGCAGGCATGCTGCTCAGTGAATGTGTGGTGGAGGAGGGAGGCAGCTGGAGTGGTAGAGTACGCTGGAATCTAGTTAGAACACCTGGATCCCAAACCTTCTGTAGTTCGTTTCATCAACCAAATCCCTTGCCCTTTGCATGCCTCGGTTTCTTCGTCTCTAAATTGAGGGACTTATACTAGTTGACTTTTTTCTAGTACCTTCCAGTTCTAAAAATCTTTTAAATAGCATAATTTTAAAAAGGCAAAGTGGAAGTGAATTTAATTGTAATACTTTCAGTCATAGAAGCATATTAATGTATGTTTGAAATACCGGTAATGATTGTAAGGTAGCATTCTATGGTACTAGTGTTTATTAATATACTGATGAGCTTCTAAGCACCACACCAGACACACAGATTCCTTGCTTTTAAAAGGGCATATATTATGGCCTTGAAATGGATCCAGATATATACGTTTTCTCAATTGTCTTAGGTCACTATATGGAAAGGTATATGTCAGTTATAACTGGATAATGCTATTATAGATAGGTAGATTTTTCTGGAAAAACAGGGAAGTACTTGAAGGAGAGTTAGAACTGTACTATAGGCCAGGCACGGTGGCTCACGCCTGTAATCCTAGCATTCTGGGAGGCCGAGGTGGGCAGATTGCTCGAGGTCAGGAGTTCAAAACCAGCCTGAATGAGAGCCCCGTCTCTACTAAATATAGAAAGAAATTAATTGGACAACTAAAAATATATATACAAAAAATTAGCTGGGCATGGTGGCACATGCCTGTGGTCCCAGCTACTCGGGAAGCTGAGGCAGGAGGATCGCTTGAGCCCAGGAGTTTGAGGTTGCTGTGAGCTAGGCTGACGCCACGGCACTCACTCTAGCCTGGGCAACAAAGCGAGACTCCGTCTCAAAACAAAACAAAACAAAAAACTGTACTATATAAACCTAATAATGGTAACAAAGGACTTAGGCAGGAATCTCTTAGAGATGAGTGAAGTGCTGAGGAGCAGAACTGGAGTTCAAATTCAGAGGTAGTATTGTGAAAATCTAATGGGTAAAGTGACCTGAACATGGGAATAAAACTCAAGGGAAAGGGCCTGCAGAAGTAGACAGAAAAATACACTAGAAATATTAAGAGGAGGGAAGTTGCAATACTGGGAGACAGTGTGCAAGAAAGCAAGCCAGGAATATGCTGATGCGCTAGGCCCAGCCATTACACCTGTACCTCTTTGGACAGCCTTTCCACCATTCTATAACTCAGGTTCCTTGTCTACAATGTAGAAAACTCATAATTACCTACCTCACAGGGGTGTTGTGAGGGTTCTTTTAGACGTGTAAGGTGCTGTCATGTAACCATAGGGAAAGAGACCCGAGAGCACATGAGTGCAGCTGACTGTAAGGGATGCCTAAGAAGGGGGACAAAGAGAAAATGGCATTGCTGATACCGATTGTGATGCAGTGGTAGGATTAACTCTGACTCCTCAAGACCATGATGTAAATGTGGTGCTGTGTATACCAACTCCCTACCACCTTTGTCTTATGTTCAGTAATTTAATCCTGGTGTGGACAAATAAAGTTTTTACTTGTAAAAAAAAAAAACTTTAATGTGAAAATGTCAAGATCAGGTTTTGTTGAAATCTGACATTCTAATAAAGTCAACGTGTCTATACAGCAGCACCTACAGTGTACAGAGGAACACAAATAAGGACTGGGGAAAATGTCACTGTTTAGTTAAAAGAATTGATTGTAGAAAGAGGATCTCCACCATGGAGTTAATAAGCAGTGCCCATGGACTGCCCCTGACATTTTTGGTACCTCTTAGCCTAGAGACTCAGGAAAGGGGTTTCCTGCAAAGGATTTCAACACCATCCTAAATGATAGTACGGCTGACAGGAAAATGGGTGCTCCCTCCAGCCAACTCCCGTCACCTCACACAACATAAGCTTGCTCTTACTTGTCTGCCTGGTCTTGACAATTGGTTCCAGTTCAACCCTCTTCATGTTACAGGCCCATGGGCTGACTGTAGGAACTTTTCCTTGTATTGAACTTTTCCATCACAAGTTCTGAAGCAGATGGTGACTGCACAAATCTGCCAGGAGACTTTCCTGTGGGCGGACAGACTCCCACAACTACAGGAAAGTTATGTACCTTGGAAGCTCATCTAGGTGGGTGGCTGGGGCACACCTACTTTTTCTCTTATCCAGAGTAGTTTCTAAAAATGGTTGGTGGGGACCATGTACTCAATCATGAAGCGTGTGTGAAGAAGTCAAAAGAGTCAAAGATAATGTAAGATAGAAACTACATAAATGAAGCACGAAATCAGATAGGACCAATATTTTAGAGACACGACTGCAGCTTCAAAAGCAACAATAGTTCATCCTACTTTAATGAAAAATGGAAGAATTATTAGATTGAAAGGCATTGCCTGTTATTTGCTACAAGAGGAGGTTCAGAAGTTCATTTTTTGTCTTCAATAATAAGGCCATTAAATCATAAAAAACTATGGACTATCAACTTTTGTAATGAGTTTTGTATTCTCACTTTGTTACTAATTACTGACACTCATACACCATGCAAGATTATGGGTAACAAATCATTGAAATAGGTTTTGACAGGCCGGGCGCAGTGGCTCACGCCTGTAATCCTAGCAATTTTGGAGGCCGAGGCGGGCGGATTGCTTAAGATTAGGAGTTCAAAACCAGCCTGAGCAAGAGCGAGACCCCGTCTCTACTATAAATAGAAAGAAATTAATTAGCCAACTAATATATATAGAAAAAATTAGCCGGGCATGGTGGCGCATGCCTGTACTCCCAGCTACTCGGGAGGCTGAGGCAGGAGGATTGCTTGAGCCCAGGAGTTTGAGGTTGCTGTGAGCTAGGCTGATGCCATGGCACTCACTCTAGCCTGGGGTAACAAAGAGAGACTCTGTCTCAAAAAAAAAAAAAAAGAAATAGGTTTTGACAATATACAGCTCAGTTTTTCTCTCAGTATTTGGTAACGTAGTAAGTTTAAAATTGCTACTATTAGAAAACAGCTAATACCACTCAGAAAAACGTCATGAAGAATCCATTCACTAAGGAAAGTTACTGCAATCTGACATTAAACACAGGTGTTTGAGTACATGTAGGGTTTGTCTTTCCAGACCTGA